TCACCTTGTACTATCTTTTGTCACACAGAAACAGCAACTTTGACAACAGTCAGTCAAATTTACCAATCTTTACAGTTCCGGGTCTTGGTCTTACCTGAACGGCCTACACTAACAATATATTTTCCAATTTAATATACACTCCAACATAAAAAATTCTTACATTTTCTTCTAATACTTTACAGGTATTTTGCTTGTGGATTAATTCTTTAATCCAAAGAGAATTCAGTTTCAATATGGGAGGTAGAGTCTTTCTTGCCAAATATTTATTTATCCCTGTTCAATATACTGAACAATCATTTCCCAACTGTTTCAAAACACTAGCTTTATTACAGGTCAGGTTCCTATACATAAATGGATCTGGTGCTGGATTCTCCTTTGTTCCATGAATCAACTTGTCTTTTCTTTTTTTTTTTTTTTAATTTTTATTTTCTGATTTTGGACAGAGAGGAACGGGGAGAGAAAGAAAAACATCAATTTGATGTTGCACTTCCTGGTGCACTCACAGGCTGATTCTCATGTGGGCCCAGACCTGGGGTCGAACCCGCCACTTCGGAGCACTGGGACCACACTCTGACCAACAGAGCGGCCCAGCCAGGGCCCAAGCTGTCTGTTCCTGCACCCACCGTTCACACTACTGAGCACTGCAGTATGTCTTGGTATCTGGTATAGCAAATACCCCATCACTATTTTTCCATTTGAAACATTCCGCGGCCATTCTGGCCCAGTCAGTCCTCCCATGACTTTTAGAAGCAGCTTATCAAGTGTCCAAAACCAATGGGCAGCGACTCCAGTCAGCATCAGTCTAACTGGCAGGGAACTGCCATCTTCAGCGACGTCTCACCACCACACACACACACACACGAACACACGCAACACCTGCACGCTTATCTGGGTCAGCTTTACATAAATGCTTTAAGTCTACCTAAGTTCTTTAGCTTTAAATTCTTTATGTAATGGGTTTTTACTTGTCTTCGTAAAGCTTTTGTACATTTATGTTTTGTTTCTCAATGTCTTCTAGTTTTACTACTATTGAGAATAGACTTGCTTTTCCATAGGAGTGATTACAAATTACTTGAACATTAGTGACAGCACACGTCTTGCCAAATGTTTAATAAATTGTATTTTTATCCAGTAAACTGTCCCCATCTTGTCATCACCTGTGTGCACTGTCATCACTGATTTGTACATGTTCTTTACATGTTGAAGATACCGACTCTTCACTTACTTTTGACACAAATATTGTCCTACTTTGTCGTTAGGCTTTTAACCTGGGGGCACTGCTTCCCTTTCTCCTTGAAGAAGTTTTACACTTTTGTGCCGTCCAGTACAACGGTTTAACCAGTGTAACGGTTTAACCAGTGACAGCTGAGCACCCGCCCATAGGCACCCAGACCTACTACATCGCTTCCCCTCCCGCTTTGAAAGGCGGGGTTACATTCCCTAAGTGAAAGACCCAGCTCAGGTGAGCCTGAGCAGAGCGTGCACTTCTTCACCGCGGCAGAAGGCATCCCCTTCGCCAGGCGTTCACGACTCACTTATTTTCCCCTCTTCACGGTGTGGAGACCTTCGTGCTGATTTGCCGTTTACTGCACTCCCACATGCAGTTCAGCTTCCAGGCTGATTGGCTCCAGGGACCCGCGGACACACTGAGCGCACAGACCCTCCAGAGCCAGCATTGTTGCGCTATAATCTGAGCTGTTTCTATTTCCCATCGTAGTTTCTGCCAGGCTATTTTTGGTATTCAGAAAGCTACGAATTTTATGCATGCATGGTATACCTACTCACTTCCTCAATTTTTTGGCCTGATTTTCAGTTACTCATTTTTTAAGCCAATAGTGTTCACACTTTCTCTTCTCTTCATTTCAGGTCCTCATCCCGCTCTTATTTCATGCAGTACTCTTTGATGAAACTTATAAAAACCATGTTAAATAATGGCTCCATTTTTAATTTGACTCTTCCTTCTTTGTTAAGTATAGTGTGGACAACCATTTCACACTTACGTGTATTTTTTGCATTAAAAAGTGCCTTTTCACTCCTCTTTTTAGTAATAAAAATGAGAACCTTAAAAAAAATAGTGTGCTATCTCCTTTGGCCTTAGTTCAGTCGGTAGTGCAAACTCAATGGGAATGCCAAGGGGACGTCCACCCCTTATCCAAACAGTCCTAGACCTCCAGAGAGACTCTGAAGGGGACTACTGAGTCTCCCCAATCCCACTCTCCACCCCACACCCCCACGTTCTGTACGCAGCAGCTAGAGTGGCTGTTTAAAAAATGCAAATCTGATTAGGTCACTGCTTAACCTCTGCTTAAAAGCCAAGCCTTGTGATGGCTTCCCATTTCGTGCAGGATGAAACGGCCTCGACCTTCCCTACAAGACCCTGCATGATCTAGCCTGGCGTGGCCTCCTTTCCGCCTCACCCACCACAGCCTGTCCCCAGTCACTCTTCCAGGTCCTGGAAGGGGCAGAGTTCCCCTCCGGGGCCTTCCCACATGCCACTCCCCTGCCTAGAAAATGATCCCCCACTTCACTCCACACTAGCGCCTACTCGCCCTTCAGATCTCAGCTGAAATCTTATTTTAAAAGAAAGAAAGAATGCCCTGGCTGGTGTAGCTCAGTGGATTGAGTGCGGGCCTGCGAACCAGACAATCGCGGTTCAATTCCCAGTCAGGGCACATGCCAGGGTTGCAGGCAGGTTCCCTGCAGGCCAGTTCCCAGCAGGGGATGCACGAAAGGCAACCATACATTGATGTTTCTCTCCCTCTCTCCTTCCCTTCCCCTCTAAAGATAAATAAATAAAATCTAAAAAAAAAAAATAATAAATAAAATAAAAAAAATAAAAGAAAGAAAGAAAGAAAGAAACAAGTCTTTCCTGGGTCCTCTCTCCACAGTCTCAAATGTGGCCGGTCCTCTTTGTTACTCTCACAGCCTGTGCTACTTAACCTTCAGAGCCAATACCACTGTTTGGGGGACTGTATTTCATTTCTGACCCCCTCCACCGGGGAGATTATAAACTCCAGAAAACAGGGACAAGTTGATTTTATTGGCTGCACTACAAGCACTCAGGTATATTTGAATGAAAGAAAAATATCTACAAAGCCCCTAGTTGCATGTCTTATGTCTTAAAATTATATCCATCATACCGTTCAATCAATATTTAAGTCACTACACTCTCTCGGATACTGTCTACAAATTCAGTGAGAATCTATTTCACCGAAGACAGGAAAGCTGACCCGACTCTGCTGCCACCACAGGAAACTCACACAGACTGGTATCACTAGTAATAAGTGGTTTAAATATTAGAGTGAGAGTTTTGTTTTATGTTGTATTAAATCTGCTCATACTCTATTCACAGTCAACTGATTTATATGCCTTATTTTTAAGACTTTATTTATTTTTAGAGAGAGGGGAAGGGAGGGAGAAGGAGAGAGAGAAACATCAATGTGTGGTTGCCTCTCACATGCCTCCTACTGGGGACCTGGCCTGCAATCCATGCAAGTGCCCTGACTAGGAATTGAACTGGCGACCCTTTGGTTCGCAGCTCAGCACTCATCCACTGAGCTATACCAGCCAGGGGCTATATGCCTTATTTTTTATGACATGTGAAGGACTAGAGAAAATGTGTAGAATATCCTTTAAGAAGCCTATAATATATTAACAGTACTTGATAAAAATTAATTATAACAAAATCATAAATCAAAAAGCCAAACCAAAGTTGGCTACCTCTATTGCTCTGTAATACATACATCTGGTCAAAAAAGAAAATGTAAATTATATTGCAAATAGAAAATCCCTCTGGATCATCACAGAGGCTAATGAAACCAGCGCTCTACCACGCACACTCCCCCACACCTCACATAACAGAACCCCGAGGAGCAGAGCAGGTGTCCTCACCATTCACAGACACGAGAACTGAGGTTCAGACTTTAGAGTCATTAGGTGTCCTGCCCAAGGTCACAGGACGTGAAAGCAGTAGAGTCACAATGCCAAAGGCAGAAGGGTGGCAGGAGGCTCCGGCCTGAGAGCCCTTGACCAAAAAGAGCTTGCGCAGCAGACGGTTGGGCTCTGTAATTAGGGTAGCTCTGTGCTCCCTTCGCTAAACTGCGTTTCACTGGAGAACCACCAACAAGAAAGCTGTTTCAAATATAAAGTCAAAACTTAAGTTGCCACCAGTCTAGGAACCGGCTAAATAAACATGGTCTACCCAAACTACAGAACGTGAGGCAGCAGTTTTTCCCAATGAGTTAACCCATTCGTTACATACTAAACTTGAAACAGTGCCCAAGTAGTTGTCAGAACAAAGGTGAGCAAGTGAGTACACACCTGCACAAGTATTTTAAAAGGTCTAGAAGGACACGTGTTAAATACATAAGTGTTATCTCTGGAGATGGGGGCTGGTAGTCAACAACTTTGGCCATCTTGCTGATGTTTCAACGCTTACAAAGAGAATGAGCTATTTTACTCGTTTAAAATTAATTTTTAAAAATTTAAATTAACCCACAGGTGGAACAAGGTCATTTTTCTGTTCCAAAAAGCTACGCATCTGCACAGCAAGTGGGGGCCCCATCTAAAGGAGAAAAAATATAGAAACAAAACAGTTGGATCCTGTTAAAACAATAAACTCTAAAAACCCCAAAACGTTCTTAAAAAAAAATATCTTACGTTTTCCCCCTTTGTAGTAGCTAGTCGGTCGCCTTTGTTGCGACAAGACAACCAATAAACTCACTAGCAACTGGAAGTGTTCAGAACAAGCAGGCTTCTGCAAGAGATCGGCTGCTCGAGTTCAGCACGGGAGGTTTCACAAAAGAGCCGAGTTTTAGGGACACGCGAGGTGACTTAGCAGAGAGACTCACCCGGGTGGGGAAAATGTCTGAGAGGGGGACAAGTGAGTTAAGGAAAAGCAGGGGGCAGGAAAAGAACCGAAGTTGGGTCCCGAAAGAGGGGTGGGTTCCTTCGGGTGTGGGAGTTGAAAGGAGGCTCGCCCGCGCTGCCCTCCGGGTTACCTGGCTGAGACTCGGCCCGGGCGGTGGTCAAACAATGGAGGCGTCCAGCGGCGGCTGTGTTCCGCGCCGGAGGCGCCAGGGGCCCCTCATCACCTGCGCAGGATGCTCCTCGGGCTCGGACGGGAAGCCGGGCGCCCTGAAAAACACACCAGCCCACCATGCAGCGAGGCTGCGCCGCCGCACCGCCCGGCTGCCTGCTCCCACGGCGCGGCCATTACCGCCTCTCCGGGGACCCGCCTGGAAACGCTCCAAGGCGCGACTGCTCGAGCTTCTGAAGCTGTTTTGCTCCCCCTTCCCTCGGCTGCAACAACAATGGAGCCCTGCTCGGGAGTCCGGCTCCCGCGGGGCCTCGCCCGGCCTCGCCCCTGCCGCTGCCCTGCCTGCGCCGCGCACCCGGCCGCCATCTGTGAACCCCGCTCCCCGCAGCCGGCACTGCCGGCCCACGCCGGCTCGCGGAGGCCCGAGACCTGGCTGCCCTCTGTGGGGCCTGCCAGGGGCCGCCAGGCCGCGCGGAACGGCTCTGACCTTCCCCACCGACGCCCAGGGACCGGCCCCGGCCCGAGGCCCATCCTAAGTGATGGGTTGTTTTTCTTTTCTTTAATCCACTCATTCTCCTTTTCACCCCGAGCCCGTTCCCCCTTCCCCCCTGCCGGCGCCCCCGCCTGGGTCCAGGAAAGAAATAAAGAGACTGCAGCCCGGCTGCCCGAGAACTCACTAGAAGTGAGGGGTTGAAGCGCCCCAGGCCGCGGGCTCCGCGCACCCACCCTCCCTCTCCTCTAGGGACACCTCACAGGTGCGCCTCCGAGCCGCGCGCGCGCGCGCCGCACACCCAGACGCCTCCGGGGGACAACGCGCGTGCGCACGCACGAGGCCGGCCGCCTCAGGGGAGCTGGGGCCGCACGCATGCGCACGGCCCGGCCCGCGCCCCGGGCCTCTCCCCCCCGCCCCCGCCCTGCCTCTGCCCCGCCCCCTGACCGCCCGCGCGCGCCCTCCCCCCCAATCCCAGGCTGGTCCCGAGTACCCACCCGTCACACCCCCACCCCGCGACCAGCGCGCGCGCTCCCGCTCACGGGCCTGGCTCCTCCTCACCCCGCCCAGCCCGAGCCCACGTTACCTAGGGCAACCGCAGTGCGGCCGCACCTGAGCTGTGCGCCTGCGTCCCACCCGCCGTACCCTCCCTCCCCTCTGTGCGGTCCCCTGCCCCGCCGCTGCAGCGGGAGGGGGGCGTCGCCCCCTCCGCGTCCAGTGAGTATCGATCGTCCTCCCCCGCCCCACCCCGCAGACACAGACCCGCCGCCGCGCCGGCGCCTCCGCCGCCCGCCCCGTCAGCGCAGCCAGGCCTCGCCGCCCCGGCCCCAGCTCCCAGCGTGCACAGCGGCGAACGCTCGGGTGGGAGCCGGCGAGATGCGCTCGGCGGGCGGCGCCCACTGACCTCGCTTGGCGGCCCGGTCGGGGCAGGGCCGGAGCCGGGAGCCAGCCCCGCCCGCCGCCCCGCCCATGGGCCGCCGGCCTTCGCTGCCACCCGCCCGGAGGACAGAGCCGAGGGGGGAGTCGCCTGAAGGACCGCGACGGCCGCGCCCGCAGGTGAGGCGGGGCCCGAGGTGTGACCCAGTCCAGCCCCGCTCACCTGGCAGTTACCTGCGGGGAGGCTCTGTGGGCGGCGAGGGCACCTGTCAGGACAAGCATTCACGGAGATTGTTACAACCTCGCGGCAGGGGGTGGGGGGTTCCCACATCCTAGCCCGGGGGCTCCAGGGTGGGGAAGGGTGTCCCCTAGCGGAAACAACTTGGGGGGCCAACGAAGTGCTGGGAAGGAGGGCAAAAGAAAAGTGAGGCGCCGCGAACCCCGCGCTGGCTGCCTGCAGGGTCTTGCAGCCGGTTACGCGTCAGGGGATGCCCTTGCCAGGGCTCCGGTCCAGGCTGCGGACCGTACGCACCGCGCGCCTGGGCCAATCGGACGGGGCAGGGGAGGCCAGCAGAGCTGTCCTGCCAGGCCGGGGTGGGATGGTAGGGCGAGGGATCCGCATTGCAGGGGCCCGGGGAGCGCCGAGGGCCGGGCCCCGCTTTGTCTAGCGCGCTGTGGGGAGGAGGCCGTCTGAATCCACACCGCCCTTTGAGGTGCGTTTTCACCCCGGGGACCTTAGAGACCTTCCCTGGTAAGTTGCATTATCTCCCGACCTGGTAGCCCTGTACGTAAGTACTCTACCTTACGGCCCTTCCCTGCAGCTTTGGTGGGGGCCTTAATTTACTCTAAAAAACGCCTCGTTTGTGATTCGTGAAACTGAGCACCAGGCGAACAGGCGGCGGAGCTCCCGGCGGGGGCTGCAGTGAGCCGCCGCCCTCGTTTACCGGAGTTACGTTTCAGTGCCGACCCTGCGGTTCCCTTTCACGCTTTGGCCCTTAGCAGTTGTGATCTGTTGCGATGATGGAGATGAGATGCTCCGGAATTTAGGCTGTAGTCATCGGTCTCGAAACAACACACAGCTGCTGGGCTGGAATACTTTAATTACGTTACGCATTTCCGGAAACCTACCTGTAAGAGTGTTCATGCTAGAATTGCCGGGTTTTAAGACTTTTAAGTTCAAATTTTATTTAAAGAGCATTGCCATTATTTCATCAAGTGATTTTTTTTTTTTGTATACCCTGGAATTGGCCTGCATTTTCTTGCCGTTGAATTGTAAGGAAAAAGATGCTAACATTCACCTCCCAAGACATTTTTTAATTTATGTGTTTATTTTGGCTAACGTTCATTTTATGTGAAACATTTTTTATAGGTTTTAAGGCTTGTGGTAGGTATATACATATGTTTATGTGTGTTTATATACATTACTGGAATACCTTAAAAAGTTTCTATGATTTCTCTGCATCTTAATTACTCAGCAAATTTAGTTCAGTTATGCCTAAAACCTAAAGTACAGAACAGTTACCTGAATCAGATTTTTACCGTAGCACATGTAAATACATCAATCCAATAAACAAGTTTCTTGGAAATTAGATATTTTTATTGTTAATTCTTTTTTAAAAAACAAATGAATTCTTTTGCTTACAATAGAAAATCATTCAGTTTTTAACTCCATTTGTTATTTGCTGGTTAAAATGATTTTATCTTCATCATTACTTGGTGGAGTACATTTGCAACAAGATGTTTTTAAGAAATATGTTTACTTCACAAAGCATTTTCTCTTTTCTGGAACAACGTCAGCCATTGACAGTTCCTAATACATAGTGGACACATATTTATTAGCTAAGACATGACTAATGTCCACTGAACTGAATTGCTTTAAGGAGGCCGCTGTGCGCCTGTGTGCACTTCACACACCGTGGGTGTAGGAAGTGTCTGGCTCAGGTTGACATGCAGCCTGGTTAGGCAGGCGCAGGTAATGACACCAGTTTTCACACCTGCAGCTTCTGTGAAGACCTGGAGAAGGTTTGAGCAGGGAAGGGAATGTGTCCTATTGTCTTCAAGTAGTCATGGTCCAACCTGCGGCAAAGGGATTCGGTATTTGCAGTACCTTCCAAGCAGAGAAGGGGATTAGTCCTCGCAGAGAGACAGACTTCACTTTCACAGACAAGCAAAAGTTGCTTCTGATGAGAACGTCTAGCCCCGGGAAGAACGGGCTGTGCTCTCCCCGCGGGGCTGCTGGGAGAACCAGCTGCTGCGCAGGAGTGGCTTCTCCAGGCAGCGCCCTGCCGTCAGAGGGGACTTCTGAGAGGGCGCCCGGGAGTCCTGCTGGAACCAGCTTGGGGCGCATTGGGGTTCGCTCATGTCTTATGCTGGCTCTTGGGGTTGGGGGTGTAACGGCATCCTCACACACCTAGCGGAGCCCTGGGAAGGTTTTCCCAGGGGAAAGACCAGCCTGGGATCAGAGAGGGTCCTGACCCCACTTTGCATTTGAATGGAGTTCTCAGGTGCTCAAGTGCTCTCACATTCAGTGTTTTGCTTGAAAAGACTTTTTAATTACACGCGTTTGTATTTCTCTCTGTGGCTTTTGTTTTATATAACAAACACCGAGTTGAGAGGAAAGTGACCCTTTGCCATGAAGACAAACAGAAGAGTTTTCCATGAGGCTGTTTAAAAACGGAACATCAGCCTTGCCTTTGAGAGCCGGAAGGTTGTGAGGGTGAATGCACTTTTTTCTTAGCTGAAGTTACCTTTTAAAAGGTACTGATTAAGGGCTCACCCCGCATTTCAGTTTCTGTTTATTTTATCACTCAAACGTGACTCAAATTTCACAGTGAAGAGCCCGGCACTCCGCCTACATAGGGTGCACTGGACTTGTTCAGTGTGTCTGCCTGATGTTTCAAATGTATGAGAACAGAGCTGGGAGATTGGTGGGGTGGGGCTCTGCATCTGAGGAAGAGAAAGGCATGCCCAGTTGCACTGAGCCAATTCCCTCAGGGACTGGTAATGTGTCATCAATAGGAGTGATGATCGGACCGTCCTGATCCGCATGTTAGTGGGGGCGGGGCAGTCAGGGTGCCATCTGCCCCGGAGCTGGCCACTCCCTGGGAAGACCAGACCTCCCTCGCTCTGCACAGGATTTAAGTGGGCAGCATCTGGTTTGTCTGATTTGGGAAGAAGTCAGGAAAAAATCTGAATTAACGCACTTACCTTTTTAAAAACCCTTTGACGAATAGTCATTCTTATTCTTTAAGCCAGGGGCGTCAGACTCATTTTCACTGGGGGGGGCCACATCAGCCTCATGGTTGCCTTCAAAGGGCCAAATGTAATTTTAGGACCGTGTAAATGTAACCACTCCCTAGCAGTGAATGAGAGCTCTGCTCTCACCAGGTGGAAACCAGGTGCGGGGCTGATACAACAAGGTGGAAGCTGGGTGCACCCTCTGGCCTTGTGTTTGCCCCCCCCCCCCGGGCTCCAGCAGACGGTTTGTCACATGTTTTTCTCACGCTGCCCGCCCTGTGAGTTTGGGTGCACCAATGTCAGTGAGACAAGGACTCTCAGACTCAGTTTGAACAAGAAACACATCATTAGTTGTACCACGCATGAAGGAAAAGATAAGAATACCAAGTTCTTCTGGCCAACCAAAAAAGAAAAGAACTCCGTACAAGTACTTACTTATCCTTCAGGAAGCCAGAGATGCCGCTCTGACTGCTGTGACCAGAGCGGCCGATTCTCAAGTAAGGGGGCCGGTCAGTCAGCAGCCTTTTGAGAGGCTGAAGGTTCCGTCTCACAGCCCTGGGCTGTGGTCTCTGGGGACATTGTTCACCGGCAGCTGGGGTCTGTGTTTCGTGCGTGTCTGCACACGGGAGGGCAGGCTGAGAGCGGTATGTCAGTGACCATTCCCAGTCTCCACCTCGTCAGAAATGACCTCCTGATGCGTCTGCTCTTCTAGAGCTGCAAGGGCGGGCGAGTCAGTGTCCTCCTCCTCCCCACGGCTCGTCCAGGAGCCGAGTGCTCAAGGCTGAGCGGTGCACTTCTGGTGTTGGCACCAGCACGTGAGCCCGAGGTGCTTAAGGCTCACGCTACGGGAGACCGAAAAGGCAGAACACGTTCAGTAAACGGCGTCTGAAGCAGGTAAATAATACTCCACAGCTGCCATTTTTATCTTTAGTGCCTCCTTGGTAACACTGGAGATGTTAAGTTCAGACCTGCAGAAGGCACATTACCCTTAACTCTTCGGATTTCCTTCCCTACCCATTTCTACGTGCACCCCGTGGCCTCTGACTTCCTGTGCAGGGAAGAGGCTCCTGAAGCACCCTTTCGGTCCCTTCCTTCAGTGACACTCCTGCACACTGCTGGTGCCCATAGACTGTAGTTCCCAGTGCGGCTACAGTACTAAAAGTTGCACATCTTACCTACGAATGGTGCCGTGGTCGCCTGAAGAGGCCACCTTTGGTGGTGTGTGGCGATGAGCAAATGAAGAAAGGTCTGTTATTTTCCACGCTGACATTCCCACGGACAGGAGCGTGGCAGGGCTTTAAGGAATGGCCCATCCGTTTGGAGGAGCAGCTGGCCTTTGTCCTCCGTCCTGGTCATCTTTACCTCTTGGGTTGGTCGTGGTGACCAAACCAGAAAGTACCTGCAGGCACGAGTCCGGGGAGGGGGAGCCACGCTGTGTGACGGTGGTGGGTCTGCTGTCCTGGGCCCTGCGTGGTGGTCTGTGAGTGCGGCGGGTCCGTGTCTGGCTGCAGAGGTCATGGGTCTGTGAGGTGCGGCGCTCAGATGGTTCAGAGAGGGGCGGGGCCTGACTTTGTTGCTGGAGGACAGCCGCAGGTGTGTTTGGCTTTGTGTTTTTAGGGGAGATGAGGGGAAAGCTTACGTCCGCATGAAGAAAGCCGGGGGCGAGGCCTTCTCGGAGGCAGCTGTGTGGAGTGCTGTCCAGAGCTGCCTCGAGTCTCGTCCACGGTCGTGGGGCGGCACCGTGAGTAGTGCTGGACCATCACGCATTCCAGAACTCGGTGGATCCTGCCCCCCACCACCCCTGCCACCCCCGTGGGCTGCGGTTCAAGGAGAGTGCCGTTCCGAGGCAGCTCTGGGCCACCAGGACCACCCTCTGCGGGCGGTCAGCACGAGCCTGACACGCGGGTGGAAGCCGAGTACCCACCCCTTGGCCATAGAGGGAA